CCTCGTCCTCTAACAGAACACTGCAGCTCCTAGATTCTGGGAATCTAGTACTAAAAGAGGATGACTCTGAAGCGACATACCTGTGGGAAAGCTTCCAGAACCCAACAGACACGTTTCTTCCCGGCATGAAAATGGATGCGACTTTGTCGTTGACTTGTTGGAGAGACTCCTCTAACCCAGCACCTGGGAACTTCACCTTCAAGCTGACTCAAAAGGCTGAGACACGGAGCTTCGTTGTGCAATATCAATCACAAATCCACTTGGCACTTGATGAATATGACACAGAAGCGGCTTCCCAGAAGGTATTTAATTTGTTGAACAACGACATCTGGAGTGCTAAAACGTATAATTATTCTAACAAAACACTATTCGTATCAAAACCTTATGTGTACTATAAATCAAGGCTTTTGATGAATTCTAGCGGGGAGATAGTGTTTCTGGAGTGGGATGAGGCAGAATCAAATTGGACTAAGATATGGTCGGCGCCAGAGAACAACTGTGACCTACCTGACTATTGTGGGAGCTTCAGCCTATGTAACAGAGATAACTTCATTCAGTGCAAATGTTTGCCAGGATTCAGTCGTATTCATGATTCTCGTTCTGATGGAGAATCCGAGTCCAAAGGATGTGTGAGAAAATCAGGATCGTGTACCAACAAGGACGTGATGTTCCTGAACTTAACCAAGATAAAAGTGGGCGACCCAGACCAACAAATTTATGCTCAAACAGAAGCAGAATGCCAATCCATCTGCATCGACATGTGTCCCGAATCACAGTGCCAAGCCTATTCATTTAATATTTCGACCAATCGCGACGATAATTTATACTCGTGCAGAATCTGGACGCGGCCTTTACCTTCTCTTGTTGAGAAGTACGCGCGCGGTAGTGATCTTTCTATCTTGGTTAAAACATCAGATATAGGTAATTTATATATTGTTAATTCGAATAGTTGAAAGTTCTAGATGATATTCATAGGTCATATTGTATTGACTCATCAGTTTAAGGGATGGATTGAAAGGTAAACTATGGAACATGATTTATGGCTGAATTATTAATTGTTGTTGTGTAGCACCAACTGCTAAATCGTGTGAACCTTGCGGCACATATGTCATTCCCTATCCGCTGAGCACTGGACCAAACTGTGGAGACCCCATGTACAACAAGTTCAATTGCGACAATTCCACTGGCAAAGTTAGTTTTATGATTCCCGGACGTATATCATACCCAGTAACTTGGATCGATGAAGATTCCAGAATGTTTGCCATTCAAACAGACGATTTCTATTCCTTCAATTACAGTTTCAGCAGTCAGAATAGCACTGATTTTCCGTTTAAGGTAGCTCAGTACAATGAAGATGCCGTAATAAAAATCAGTTGGTTACCAGCGCCAGAACCCCCCTGTAGTCAGCGTACAGACTGCATTAGTTGGCCAAATTCAACATGCAGAGCAACAGGGGAAGGTGGAAGTAGGTGCCTTTGTAATTCAAACTATAAATGGAATAACACATTAATGAGCTGCACCCAAGGTTAGGATTTTGTTATAATCCTCTCAACTTTTCTATTTTTCTCCTTTAATACCCAAAAAATATTGCCAGATTAAAATGATTATAATGGTGTTTGCCCTCATACTTTCTGCATATTTTTTTTCCTTTCTGCGAGAGAAGAGCAATCAGGAAATCACTCAACTCGACTAGAACTGATTCTTTTAGCAACTCTTGGTTCCCTGGCTGCTGTGACATGCATAATAGCTTTTGGCTTCGTGTGGAGAAAGAAAAAGCCCCGTAAACATGGTAATAATATGAAGTTTTGCATGTTGAATTAAAAATCTTTTATCTTCACACAGATAATGAAATGCTATTGATCTGTTGGTACGGAGTTCAGACCGAGCAAGCACCCGAATTCAGGAGAGCTTGTATGAGAGTGAAAGACATGTGAAAGGTTTGATTGGCTTAGGAAGTTTAGAAGAAAAAGACATCGAAGGCATTGAAGTTCCCTTTTACACTTTTGCAAGCATTCTCGCAGCTACAGATAGTTTCTCGGATTCTAACAAGCTTGGAAGAGGAGGTTATGGACCTGTTTATAAGGTGATTTGTTCAGTTCATCAAACTTTATTACCTACCTTGCATTGAATCCTTGCAAAATATTCTCATGATATAATGTATGGAAACCTTTTTATCCAGGGAACGTTTCCAGGAGGTCAAGAAATAGCTGTAAAGAGACTTTCAAGTGTTTCCACTCAAGGCCTGCAAGAATTCAAAAATGAGGTTATTTTGATTGCCAAACTTCAACATCGGAACCTTGTTAGACTGAGGGGCTACTGCATAAAAGGGGATGAAAAAATCTTACTTTATGAATACATGCCAAATAAGAGTTTGGACTCATTTATATTTGGTGAGACTCCATATTCCATCATACAACCTATTCTCTAATTATTACAATCATAACTTCGCTAACCTCGTTCTTGATTTGAAATGTGAAATGCATACGTTGAAAGACCGTAGTCGAACTATACTGTTGGATTGGCCGATGCGGTTTGAGATAATAGTAGGCATAGCACGAGGCATGCTATACCTTCATCAAGACTCTAGATTGAGAGTGATTCATAGAGACATGAAAACCAGCAACGTTCTCTTAGACGAGGAAATGAATCCAAAGATATCTGACTTTGGTCTTGCCAAAATATTTGGAGGAAAAGAAACTGAAGCAAGTACAGGGAGAGTGATGGGAACCTAGTAAGTTCACCATGTACTCTGACATTGTTATTTTTCTGAATATGATGTTCCATACATTCTTGCTACACATAAAAATTTATATTGTTTTTTTCTTGAAGTGGATACATGGCTCCAGAGTACGCTTTGGATGGACTTTTTTCAGTGAAATCTGATGTTTTCAGTTTTGGAGTGGTCCTACTGGAGATTCTTAGTGGAAAAAAGAACACAGGATTCTATGAGTCCAAACAAATTTCTAGCCTTTTGGGTTATGTATGTTTATTGTGTTGCTGTCTTGTGTTGTTTTTGTGACTTATATTGAATTCTGATTCATTTTTTCTTGACATTATATTTATCAGGCATGGAAATTATGGTCAGAGAACAAGATACTGGATTTAATGGATTCTAGTCTTGGTGAAACATGCAACGAAAATCAATTTTTCAAATGTGCAGTTGTTGGATTATTATGCATACAAGATGAACCAAGTAATCGACCAACTATGTCAAATGTTTTGTACATGCTTGACGTAGAGACAACAACCATGCCAATTCCCACGCAGCCAACATTTTTTATGAACAAGCGTTATTCAAGTTCAGCTTCTTCTTCTAGTAAACCAGAAACAAGTCTGCAATTTGA